TTTATTTTCCAAAGCACCAGAGGGCAGGACAAGAAACAATGGATGGAAACTAATCAAAGAGAGAAGCAACCTGGAATTCAGGAGAAACTTCCTAACAGTGAGGACAATTAACCAATAGAATAGCTTGCCTTTAGACATTGTGGATGTGACATGCTTTTAATAATAGATTTTAAGAATATGTTTTTCCTGCCTCAGTATAAAATCTTGTTTTTCTCCACAATATATTTCATATTGTTGGATAGGACCCATTGTTCAAGTCTCTCAAGATCTTTTTGGATCCTAAGCTGGTCTTCTGAGGTGTTGCTATTCCTGCCAGCTTAGTGTCATCTGCAAATCTGATGAGTTTCCCTTCTATTCCCCCATCTAAGTCATGTATGAAGATACTGAAGAGTCCTGGGCCTAAGACAGAACCCTGTGGCAAATCACTGCTTACCTCCCTTTGTGTAGATGTAGTAGCATTAAGGGCTACTTGTTTAGTATGGTTTGTCAGCCAGTTAGAAATCCATCTGTTGGTGATGCTGTTTTTCCCACATTTTTCTAGCTTATCAAAGATAGGTTGTAGTCTATTTTATCGTATGCTTTGCTGAAGTCTACATATACTATGTCCACACCATTTCTCTGGTGGTCTAATTTAGTCACCTTGTCAAAGAATGAAATAAGAAGTTTTGCAAGATCTGTTTTTAACAAATCCATGCTGGCTTTTAATTAAAACTGTATTTGTTTCTAGACACTCACTGATCTGCTTTTTATTATTTTTTCCAGTATCTTCCTGGGTATTAATGTTAGACTGGTTGGCTTGTAATTTCCTGGGTCTGGTTTTCTTTTTTTCTTTTTTCTTTTAAAGATGGGAACTACATCAGCTCTTTTCCAATCCACAGGTAATACCCCAGTGTATCCCAGGATTTTTGAGATATGGTACAATGGTTCTGAGATAACATCTACCAGCTCCCTCAGAACTCCGATGTTCCAAGAATCAGGTCCTGGTGATTTATATTCACCGAACTCATCAAATTTGAGATGACACCAAGCTGGCAGGAACATCAAACACCCCAGAAGATAGGGTTAAGATACAGAAGAATCTCAGCAAACTTGAACACTGGGCCCTATTTAACACAATGAAACTCAATGGAGAAAAAAAAACCAAGGTTTTACACTTAAGCAAGAGAAACCAAATGTACAGGTACAGAATAGGTGGAACCTGGCAGTATCTATGAGAGGGAACATTGAATCCCAGTGGACAATCATTTAAATGTGAGCTAGCAGGGTGTTGCAGTGGCCAAAAAAGCCAATGCAATCTTAGGCTCTATTAACAGAGGGATACAGTCAAGATCAAGTGAAGTGCTAGTACCAATTTATAATGCTTTGGTAAGGCCACACTTGGAGTTCTGCAACCAGTTTTGGTCACCAAGAATTAAAAAGATGTTGAGACTCCATAAAGAGCCCATGGAAGAGCAGCAAGGAGGATTAGGGGGCTGGAGGCTGAAGTAAGTAAAGAACAGTGGCAGGAACTGGGAATGGCTAGTCTAGTGAGGAGGAGAACTAGGGGAGACATGATAGCGGTGTTCCAATAATTGAGGGGTTGCCACAAAGAAGAGGGGGTCAACCTATTCTCCAAAGCAGCCAAAGGCAGGACAAATGGATGGAAACTAACGAGAAGTTAGAGAAGCAACCTAGAACTAAGAAGAAATTTCCTGACACCCAGAACAAACCAGTGGAACTGTTTGCCTTCAGAAGTTGTGGGTGCTCCATCACTGGAGGCTTTGAAACAGAGACTGGACAGCCATTTCTCTGAAATGATGTTGGGTCTCCTGCTCGATCAGGGGGTTGGAATAGATGACCTCCAGGGATCCTTCCAACGACGTTCCTCTGTAACACTCCTCTAGTGATGGAGAAACAGCCTGAACTTAAAAGAGGTTTTTTAAATCTTCTCACCAGAAGGAAAATTGCAGCCACCGGTGGGCTTAAATTTGGGGAGGGAAGGAACCTGCAGCAGCAGCAGCAGCTGACACGCTTCAGCCCAGTTGCTTCTCTGCTTCCAGGCCGTGGAGGGAACCGAACAGCCCGACTTGCTCCCGGACTCTCCTCCCACCTGATGCCTCCAACTCACCTGCCAGCTGCTGCTTCCATCCTGGGAAGATCAGAAAAGCCGCTCTGCACACCACCTTCCTCCCATGAGTCATCCGGAAAAGGAAGTTCCTCTTCCTATCCTTTCTAGCAATACAATACTTGATGGTTTTAACTCTTTAAACTCAACCACAGAGCCCGCCTACTGTACTGTCAACTTTTAGGCACAGATTTTGTCCTCTTGACTTCCATCTCCGGATAGGAAACGCCTCTAGCTAAGGCGTCTGCAAGGTGTTTTCACGGATTAAATGCTATCAAGATGTTTTGACTTCTAGCAACCGACCTTTGCAACTGAGCCAAGTGAAATAGTGAAATGTGAAGTGGTGGAATTCAATTTTTTTTACTACTGGTTATGTGGGCGTGGCTTCGTGGTTATGTGACTGAGTGGGTGTGGCTTGGTGGGCATGTGACTGGGTGGGCATGGCCAACTCAATGTCACTCACATCAAGGGGTGCCTCACCTGGCCCCACCCTTACATTCCTTGTCACCCAGCCTCAACTTACCTATAGTTCTGTAAAAATGTTGTTCACCTTTTTTGACTTTATTATCTGCATACTATAGATGTACTTTCATGGACCACTGAAAGGAGGAAATGGCTCGCATGCTTTGCCCAAGAGTGTGATAGGCAACAGGCTTTTAAGGGGCAGCCAGAAAGAAGGGGGGGGCAATGTATTTTCCAAAGAAGCAGAATGCAAACAAGAAGCAATGGATGGAAACTGAACAGAGAGAAGCAACCTAAAACTAAGGAGAAACTTCCTGACAGTGAGAACAATTAACCAGTGGAACTGCCTGCCTCCAGAAGTTCTGGGTGCTCAATCACTGGAAGTTTTTAAGAAAAGACTGGACAGCCATTTCTCTGAAATGGTATAGGGTTCACCCCAAGATCCCTTCTAAGTATTATTCTTACACCTTTCCCAGGATTTCTACTCAGAGTTTGGCTTCCTCAGTTTTGTGGCCTGATCTGGGGGTTGGACTAGAAGACCTCTTAGGTCCCTTTCAACTCTTGTTAAACACATGTGTATTTTATGCTCTGGACTATTGACACTGAATGCATGTAAACCCTGAAAAATATGTGGTATCCCTGGGCAAAAGAAAGGCAGAAAAATCACTATGTGTAGGGACAGTGTAAAATATTAACACATGATAAATAGTGGAACAATTAAAAATAATAGCACAGTTTTCTCTCTCTCTGTCTTCCTATTTTCTTTCTTTCTTTCTCATTCTTTCTCTCTTTCTTTCTTTGTTTTTGTCTTTCTCTCCCTTCCTCTTTCTTTTTCTTTCTTTCTTTCTTTCTTTCTTTCTTTCTTTCTTTCTTTCTTTCTTTCTTTCTTTCTTTCTTTCTTTCTCTCTCTCTCTCTCTCTCTCTCTCTCTCTCTCTCTCTCTCTCTCTCACACACACACACACACACACACACACACACAGAGAGCACTTAACAGACAAGCATTTTGGAAGCAGCTCCTTTAAATTTCTCCAAGGTTGGAGTGGATTTCCCCACTCCCTGTCAGCCCGCACTCCTTCTCACTCTAGACACTTTAACTCACAAGCGGAAAGCGATACTTGCAGCATCCATGGGGAATCCTTGGAGAAGTTTTTAAAGGACCTCCTTCCAAAATGCATTTCTTTTACATTGCAAAAGTGCTCCAGGGATCGATTCACCCCCACCTCCTCGGACAGACCGCACTCTTTCTCATTCCAGGCACTTTTAACTCATGAGGGGAAAGCGATACTTGCAGTGTCCATGCCTTTCTTCTCCCCCCCCCCCCCAGAAAGAGGACATGGGGAACGGAAAGCTAGGAGAGCGATCGCAAGTGAGCAACCGGGTGACCGGGTTGGGGGCGTGGCCAGCCAGGGGTCACTACCCGTTCAGCGACCCATGCCAAATAACTGCTACCGGTTCATGCGAACCGGTTGAATACCACTTCTGAATGTGATGCTACCTAACCTTAAAAAGATTAGCTATGTGCTCAGCCCTAAAACAATAAGAATAAGCTTTCTTGGGGGTGTCTCTCATTGGAGATCAAAGCCTCTCTACCCCTTTATGACTTATTTAATGTGGCTCCCAAGGATTTAGGACATGGCAAAACCATCAGGAGAGATGCTCCAGGGGAGCCAGCTTCACTCCTGCTGGCCAGGGCTGCCTCCAAGAGCAACCAGCATGAAGTTTGATTCCTGAAGGAGGAAATTGCATAACAACTGCTAAATGTTAAATGCCATGTGTAAATTCTGTAAATTTACTTGCAGGGAGGTCTCCATTAGGTCACAGATATAGGATAGAGGAAATTATACAGCAGGGCCTAGAAAACGGGGGCTAAGAAAGGGGACAATTGTCAATATATAGTAGAAGAAATATTTGGAATGGAATGGAATGGAATAACAGGGTTGGAAGGTATTCTAGACCTTGGAGGTCTTCTAGTCCAACCCCCTGCTTAAAAAGCAAACCCTGCCAGGTTTGTGGCAACCCCTGAGATACCAGAACACTGCTATCATGTCACCCCTGGTCCTTCTTTTCATTAAACTATGTCTTTTCATGACTTTTAATGACATAATGTCATGCCCCCATCAGAATTGGAATCTGAGGGGGAAGACGAACAGCTGACAGAGAGCAGGAGAGTGGCTTCCTTGGCTGTGGAGGAAACTGGGGAAGGGCAAAGTCAGGCTGGGCAGAGCAGGGAAGAGGTAAAACAAGGGAGAGAGGGTTCAGAAGAACACCAAGGCCCACCCCCTCCTCATCCTAGGGCACGCAGGGAAGAATGCAGAAGAGAGCAATGTGGGTTGCATGGCTTATGAGGGAGGAAAAGGCCCCGATTCCTTCACAAGGCACACCTGGGAATGGAGTTTAAAGGAGAGGCAGTTGGGAGGGGCGTTTGGGAGGAACAAATGCTGAATTCATCTAGTGTTGTGAGTTTAGCCTGCATTCCTAGAATTCCTCCTTTCTGTGTGAATTATTGCCAGGCTGGAATTATTGGACTTGTTATCTTGCCCTTCTGGATTGATTGATTGCAGTCTTTCTGCTTACAGCATTTGGACTGGAGTATCTGCAGTCAGAGGCTGTTGTAGGTTCATGGGAGAGCTTTTCTTCAGGCCGGAGAGTAACAGGGACACTGGGGGCAAAGTTGGAGCAAATACGGATTCATACCTATTTTCTGGCTGTGTTGCCTTTGTGCCCCGCCCCAGGTCACAATACCCAATTCCAGCAACCCTTCTTTATGTTTTAGCCTCCATCCTGTGATCATCTCTGTTGCTCTTCTCTGCACTCTTTCTAGAGTCTCAACATCTTTTTTACATTGTGGTGACCAAAACTGGATGCAGTATTCCAAGTGTGGCCTTACCAAGGCTTTATAAAGTGGTATTAACACTTCACGTGATCCTGATTCTATCCCTGATAATGCAGCCTAGAACTGCAGTGAATTTTTTGTCAGTGCTTGTCACACTGCTGGCTCATATTTAAATGATTGTCTACTACAGGCCTGTCAAACTGGCAGTGGGTGGGCCGGATGTGTCACGTGTAAGCCATGCTCACCCCGACTCCACAAAGGCAAAAAATAGTCACAATGCATCATGATATGTCATGTGATGCAATCAAGTTTGATACCCGTAGTCTAAGATCCCTCACAGTTTCTAAATGTATTTTAAATGTATTTCTACAGTACATTTTTAAAGAAAGGGAAAAAAAGAATATCCCATCAAAACACATGGCTGACTGATCATCAGGCTAACTTTATTACAAGGACATTACAATTTACAATTTACAACCACAGCTGAACCACAACTGAACTGAACAATTGAGGCCAAAATTTATGTTGCTCAGTGAGAAATTGATTAAGTAATTTTTGCCGCATTTTATGACTTCTTGCCACGTTTGTTAACTGAATCACTGAAGTTGTTAAATTAGTAACATGGTTGCTAAGTGAATCCGGATTCCTCATTGACTTTGCTTGTCAGAAGATCAGAAAAGGGGATCACATGACTCCAGGACACTGCAACTGTCATAAATGTGAGTCAACTGTCAAGCATCCGAATGTAAATCAGATGACCATGGGGATGCTGCAATGGTCAAAAGTGTGAAAAATGGTCTGAGTTGAGGACTATCTGTATTTTATTGATTCCCCTTTCATTCAGGAATCCAAGATGGCATACAAAGCATTTCCTGGGTAGCATGCTGTAATTTACAGGGTAAATGTCCCCCAGACAGCCTCTCTACTTACTGATACAGTTTTTGCCTCTCAATAATCCATAATGTCTCGCCTCTGCCAACTCCTTGCAGGACATGGCTAACTTGCTGCAGGGACAACTTTCTGTGAGAGTGAGTGTGTGGGCACATTGTGTAGGCTTCATGGGCTGTTTATGGATGTGTAGGCTGGTGAGCAAACCGATTGGCAAAGGGCATGAAGTATGCAGGCAGGTGAGTGGTAGATCAGATCGCAGGGGTGCTGGGTGGGTGAGCAAATTGGTGGGCAGAGTCCCCGTGTGTGCAGGCATGTGACAAAGCAGGTGGGCAGAGCGTGCTGGGTTGGTGAGAGGATTGGCCACGTCACTATCCGCAGCAGCAGCTGGAGACGTAGCCGCTCATATACCTGCCGGCCAGCTGGTGCTCAGATGGAGAATTAGCGAGAGTCATGGCAGGGCAGTTCCCAGAGCACCTCTGATACAACATTGGTGATGCAGGCGTTACCCCTATTGCCACCGATGTATTGGGCTCTGGCAAAGGGGAGCAGGGTCAGCCACGGTGAGCAGGGTGATGCCAGCTGTGAGATCAGGATTATCGCATCAGAGGAAAGCAAACCAGCAAAATAGTAGGGCAAACAAGAAAAGGGATGCTTTGTGAGGGAAATAAACAGAAGAGATAAGCAAGGGTAGAAGCATGCCAATCCCCCGTCAGCTTATTATAATTTCCACTTCAGATTGTGGCCAGCACTATTTCCCTCTCTCTAGAACAATCACACACCACATAGTTCATTTTTGAGCTGGCAAAAATTTAGCTTGATGTTATTTATGAAAATGTGTAAAATATGATTTAACTAGCAAAATGGTCTATTTCAAAAACCCAGTTACTTCTTAAGGGTTTTTTTTTTGGGGGGGGGGGTGTCTTTTGGTACTTCTTAAGGAAAGGACCTTTTGAAACTACTCTGTTAAAATGCTGTCCAACTATAAATTGGAGGGGCGTCAAGATATTTAAATTTATACTGGAACAGTGGTGGTTGTTGAAAGAGTCAGAACACACCGTTACAGCTGATTGATTAAACAGAGCTGGGTTCTGCATGAGGCAATCTAAGCTGCGATTGGTTGCCTTGCGTGAAAAGGGGGAGTTTCCTTGTTTCCCGCCTTTTTGCCCAGTGTGCTCTCATGGTTTTATCTGATGTTCCTGCTGTGTTGATTTTACCTCACCAGCTGCACAATTCCTTGACACAAATATCTTCCTTGTACCGTCTCCCACCTTCTTATACTCCTGTGAATTAGAGGGGTTTTTCTCTGAGTCTCTTCCATAAGAATTAGCTGTAATGTGTTCGTCCAAATGGGATTATTCGCTTCATCACTGGAGGCTTTTAAGAAGAGACTGGACAGTCACTTGTCTGAAATAGTATAAGGTTGGACTAAAAGACCTCCAAGGTCCTTTCCAGATCTATTCTATTCTGGATGATATTGACTCTGAGCTCTGTTTTTTTCCCAAAGTTTTTTTTTTTTACACATCTCTTCACGTGAGCAATGTCATTCCAGATTACAATATTTATACATAATCATAGTTACACTTTCAACTTAATTAATATCACTTCAAATTATTATCTATTCGACTAATCTTCAGATAAATTTCCCTTTCATATTTCAATTCATTAATTCAATATCAAAATCATTTCATCCTCACATATATTTTCAATTCTTTATCCCCTATTATTTCCATTTTCAGCTTACCACCTATTTTATGTTACCTTATGTATTGTTATCATCTATAACTTTCTCAAGACCAATATATAATTAGACAGTCAATGAAAGAAAAAAATGAGTAAAAGTAAAGTAAGATTAATACATTTAGGATCCAAATGGTATATCCCCCCATCTACAATATATATCTATTCCTGAGATATTCATATAATCATTTCATATTTTTTCTTTGTTTCCAAAATTTACCTATATAATTCTAATAAATTTTCATTCCCCTGCTTTTGATTATAATTCTTTCATTATAAATATTTATAAACATTATTAAATTATAAATATTATTCTCATATCCTTTGTATAATCAATTGTATTTTCTCTTTCATGAATACCACAGAGAAATAAAATAAAATAAAAACAGAGTTAATTTCCCCTTTTACTTCCCTTTGACCAATTTCAACCTATAGCATTTTTATAACCTTAATTCACACTTTTTAAACATACCAGATTTTCACCCGTCATCATATTCTGTTTTCCTAATATCATTTAAATAGTCATTAGCATATTTTAGAATATGTATGTGTATGTGTGTATGTATATATATGTATGTATGTATGTATGTATGTATGTATGTATGTAGGTCTAGGTGTGTTCGGGTCTTTTCCCGTGTAAGATTAAGAGTATCTTGGCAACGTTTCAGCGAGGTCCCACTCGCCATCCTCAGGCTGGTGCTTTCAGCTTCATGCCAGTGCAAGCAGTGTGTGATCGGAGCTGCCGTCTCTCTATAAATACTGGTGGTGGGGGCTGGTGTGCTGGGCTGGTTGGCTGTGCTGCTGCCTCTTGATTGGTTGATGGAGTTGATGTTGGTATAATGGGCTGTGTGATAGCCTTGTGAGTTTTGTTGTGGAGATATCCTGGATCTTGTGCTGTAATCTCCTGGATCATTTGTTTTGTAGTGATCTTTTTTCCATTATCCTCTCATGTTTTAACAGCTTGGGTAATAGGCTGTGTGATGGGATTGCAAGTTCTTTTGTTGTGGTATCCTGGGTCCTGCGTTGCAATATCCTGGGTCGTTTGTGTTTTGATCTCTTTTTCATTAGCCTCCTATGTTGTAACGGCTTGGTAATGGATTGTGTGATGACCTTGTGAGATTTATTGCTGTGGTATCCTTGGTCTTGTGCTGTGATATCCTGGGTCATTTGCTGTGTTGCAACTTCTTGAGTTCTTGTGGTGTAATTTCCTGAGTTTTCTGATGTGATATCCTGAGCAGGTGGCCGTGATATAGCATTCTGGGTTCTAGTCTGGCTTCGAGTTTGGGGTCTGGGTCTGTGTTCTTGGCTGTGTCAGCTTGTTTGGTTTTGGGGTTGGGGTGTGTGACAGCTGGCGAAGCAGCCATGGTCTGGTTTCTGGATGGTGGTTGTCCTTCGTTTATAGGATGGGCTTGGGCCTGGGTCTGATGAGGGGGATTGGCGGTGGTGATGGCAGCTCCGATCACACACTGCTTGCACTGGTACGAAGCCGAAAGCACCAGCCTGAGGATGGCGAGTGGGACCTCTCTGGTGTGGCTCCTTCCATGAACAACCAGGGAGCTCTTCTGACCAAAGCTTTTGCTGATATGGTTTTTCTCCAGTGTGGATCCTGCTGGGCATAGTCAGCTGTTTTTAGCTGCTGCTTCTACCCTGGGAAGACCAGGAGAGCCTCCCTCCCTGCATCCCCCCTCTCAGCGGAGAGCCAGAAAGGGGAAAGTCTCCTGCTGTTGTTCTCTCCTCCAAATCCTTTCTAGGAATTTACTGTTAAAATCTTTACCAACACTTTGCTGTACTCTATTCTACCATCATCTATGGTGGCCGTTGCTTATCTCTAGTGCACCATTTAGTGACATAAAGCTGAAAACTATGTTGTTCCATCTCTACCTAAGGCATGGAGGCTGTTTAGTGTTTCCTGTTCCTGTGTAAGAAATGTATCCCATTGGCTGCAGACTCCCAGGGGTGGGGATCTTAGCTAACTTTGTAGGCTTTGTCTGGACCACATGGCTTCACCTGAGTGCTGGCTGATGCAATCTTCCCAGGCCAGGTGGTGAGAGGGGCAGAGGCCTTTGTTATGTAGAATACTCTGGCCCAGGTCTTAATGGCCCACCCATTGACAAAGGCAGTGGTGAGCTTCTGCTTCTGAGGTGAGTTTCTGCTTCTGAGTTTCTACTTCTCTTTTAGGGGAAATATTCTGCCTTTTTAATATTTCCTTGGATATTTCATTTTTCTAGGAGAGGGGTGGGTGATAACTTCCTACAATCCCTGGTTTTTTCCCCTAAAACACATGTTTTGAGAAAAGATTAAAAGGTGATCAGATCAGGGAGACCTGCTGGGTGCTTTTAATTTTTCTGATGCAAAGGGGGGAGGCATTGATAAAGAGGCAACAGAAAAGGATCCCTTCAGTGGTTCCCAAAAGCTTTCAACCATGAATGTCTAGCAGCCTGGGAAAAGTTCTTGATTTTTTGTTTACAGTATCCAATTTTTCATGCCAATTAATTTTCAGATGTTTGATGTACTTTGTGAGCTTACAGTCAGGTTGTAAGGACAAGCCCCTTCATTCTCCACAGCCACGGTTTGCCTTTAAATTACAGGCTGCCCATTTCCAAGGTTATGGTTACTAAACCTGCCCTAGCTCTTAGCATCCAGGGTTTGTGAGGCCAAATTGAGGTTAGCCAGTGTGCAATTCAGGCTATTTAGTGTTTTTAAAATTACACACAATGAGCCCTGGGACTTCTACTCATGAGACCACCAGTGCAACATATCCTGCTTTACTGGGTAACTGGGCAGCATCATTTGTGAGTCACTGTCAGGGCTTCAGGGTTTGGAGTTCTCTTTTCTGCTATCACTTAAGTGAGGGAATTGCCTGAGGGGGGATGCCCCCTCCCCCATGGGATTAGCAGGGATTAGAGATGGGGTGTGTATATAGATAGCTTGCAGGCATGGTTTGAGGAGGAAGAAAAATAACTCATCAGTATTGCAGTTACTAAACAGATAAATCAGTTTCAACAAAATGGAGACACAACAGATGAGAAAGGGAAAAAACTGGATTCACATGCTTCAAGAAAAATGAAAAGGTAAAATCATTTAAACACACAGTAAATGCAAGGATGAAACTTTTTTTGTAAATGAACTTAAAAGTATTCGCCTTGGGTTTTTCTTAAAACCACAGAGAGGAAAAAAAACTGAACTCTCTGCTTCATCCAGTCTAGTTGGCCAGAGTAAACTACGTGAAGACATTTTCTTTTCCTTTCAGTGCTTCCAACTCTTTTAACAATTTAAAATTCATATCTGAAGGGATCAGTTTGCAGACGAAAAGGTGTCTGGGAGAGACTTTGGTTCCCTTTACAAAGTATGTGCACTCCCCTCCAAGGGAAATCTCCGGCCAGTTTTCAGACTGGGGGGAAAACAATCTGTGAGGACTTACTATCCCCAAAAAAGACAGTCTGGGAGAACTTTCTGCCCTCCGCAGACAAGTACTGGCACTCCCCTTCCGGCTCAGGTTCTCAGATTTGGAAGAGTTCAAGTCCAGGAGGACTTGCTCCTCTTCAGCAGGCAAGTAGTGGCACTCCTCTTACTTCACAACTTCCTAATTACCTAAATTCACAATTACGTAAAATCCTAAGGTTTGCTTTTGTGATAACACTGGACAAAAAAAAATTGTTCCCTCCCTCCAATAATAACCTGCTTGGCTTTCTCCTTCTCTAACAAATGGTCCTGTGCTCTGGCAAACCCCGCATGCTCTCCAGACTATTGATCTTTCTGCGGTTAGGAAATGCACAGAGGAAGGAAGATCCAGTTGTGTTTATGAGAAGGGCCCTCTCACTCACACACATGCAGGCATACACACATTTCCCATACTTAAATTTAGAATTTAGAGGTACTCACCTTCCTTCCAAACAGCCTTTGAGCTCAACACTCAAAACCCCTTTAAAACCTTTTTTCCAAATGGTCAAGGTCCAGGAAAACTCACTCACAGACTCAATGGGTCTGCTTGCCAGCAAGGGAATCTTACCTGGCCTGGTCCATTGGTTAGGTTAGCTTGGAGTCCCATCTGGGGTGCCAAATTGTTGCAAGAATTATCCTCCTGGCTTCAGTTCCAAGTGGAGAAAAAGACACTGGAAACATGGAGGCTGTTTGGAAAGATGGTTTATCCTTAGTTATATACCCTGTGTTAAGGTATATAACACCTTAGTGTTTCCTGGTCCTGTGTAAGAAATGTATCCCATTGGCTATCAGACTCCCAGGGGTGGGGGTCTTAGCTAACTTTGTAGGCTTTGTCTGGACCACATGGCTTCACCTGAGTGCTGGTTGATGCAATCTTCCTAGGCCAGTGGAGAGATCGGCAGAGGCCTTTGTTATGTAGAATACTCTGGCCTAGGCCTTAATAGTCTGCCCATTAACAAAGGTGGTGGTGAGCTTCTGCTTCTGAGGTGAGTTTCTGCTTTTGCGTTTCTACTTCTCTTTTAGGAGAAATATTCTGCCTTTTTAATATTTCCTAGGATATTTCATTTTTCTAGGAGAGGGATGGGTGCTAATTTCCTACAATACAATAGCACCATCCAAAATTCCTTTTTGAGGAATTCCACCAGAAAAGGGCAGTTAGCCATTTTCCACTTTCTTTTTCTCTCCACCTATAATTTTAATCCTGAGAAAAGTTTGAATACAAAGAATCAAGCCAGAATTCAGTCAATTTCTCATCTACACTTTTGAATGTGAGATCACAAATGAAATTCAATCCTTCTCTAAACTCTTCAACTTTTGTCTCATGTGGATTTCCTTGTGTGCACTAAGGGATGATTTATGCTTGAAGTAAAGATCACAGACTGGACATTTGAAAGGTTTCCCCATGGTGTGGGTATTCTGGTGTGTTAACAGGTAGGAATTCCGACTGAAACTTTTACCACAATCAGGACATTCAAAGGGTTTCTCTCCTGTATGAGTCCTCTGGTGTATCACCAGGTAGGAATTCTGACTGAAACATTTCCCACAATCAGGACATTCAAAGGGTTTCTCTCCTGTGTGTGTCCTCTGGTGTCTCATGCAGTGAGAGTTCTCACTAAAACCTTTTCCACAGTCAGGACATTCAAAGGGTTTCTCTCCTGTGTGAATTCTCTGGTGACTCACAAGGTTGGCATTCTGACTGAAACTTTTCCCACATATAGGACATTCAAAGGGTTTTTCTCCTGTGTGAGTCCTCTGGTGTTTCATGAGGTGGGTATTTGTAATGAAACATTTCCCACAGTCAGGACATTCAAAGGGTTTCTCTCCGGTGTGAGTCCTCTGGTGTATTATCAGGTAGGAATTCTGACTAAAACCTTTTCCACAGTTTGGACATTCAAACGGCTTCTCTCCTGTGTGAGTCCTCTGATGTTTCATGAGGTGGGAATTCTGACTGAAACTTTTCCCACAATCAGGACATTCAAACGGTTTCTCTCCTGTGTGAGTCCTCTGGTGTATTACCAGGCTGGAATTCTCAATGAAACTTTTCCCACAGATAGGACATTCAAAGGGTTTCTCTCCGGTGTGAGTCCTCTGGTGTATTGTCAGGTAGGAATTCTGACTGAAACTTTTCCCACAGATAGGACATTCAATGGGTTTCTCCCCTGTGTGTGTTCTCTGGTGTCTGATGAGGTCAGAATTCTGACTAAAGCCTTTTCTGCAGTCAGGACATTCAAAGGGTTTCTCTCCTGTGTGAGTACTCTGGTGTCTCATGAGGTGGGAATTCTGACCAAAGCCTTTTCCACAGAGAGGACATTCAAACATTTTGTCTCCTGTGTGAGTCCTCTGGTGTATTACCAGGTAGGAATTCCGACTGAAACTTTTCCCACAGATAAGACATTCAAAGTGTTTCTCTCCTGTGTGAGTTCTCTGGTGACTCACAAGGTTGGCATTCTGACTGAAACTTTTCCCACAGACAGGACATTCAAAGGGTTTCTCTCCGGTGTGAGTCCTCTGGTGTATAATAAAGCGGGAATTTGTAATAAAACCTTTCCCACAATCTTGACATTTATAAGGTTTTTCCATGGAGTTAATCCTCTGATGTATTACCAGGCTGGAATTTTGACTGGAAGTTCTCCGTCAGGACATTGAAAGGGTTTTTCTCGTTTGAGACTCCTCTGGTATATCACCAAATTGGAATTGCAACTGAAAGTTTTCCCACAATCAGGACATTCAAATAATTTTTCTCCTATGCAAGTTCTCTTGTGTATCATGAGGCTAGAATTCTGATTGAAACTTTTTCCCACAATCTAGACACTCATACAGTTTCTCTCTGGAGTCAACCCACTGATGCATCACTAGACTGGAATTGAGACTGAAACTTTTTCCGCTCAGGACATTCAAAGGGTTTCACACTCCTGTGTGAGTCCTCAGGTGCTTCACCAGGCTGGCATTCTCACTGAAACTTTTCCCACAGAAAGGATATTCAAATGTTGTTGTTTTTTTGTGTGTGTGTCCTTTAAGTGTCTCATGACTTGGGAACTTCTAATGAAACTTTTACACAATCTGCACAGTGATACATTTTCTCCCTGCTGTGAGTCCTCTGATGTATCACCATGTTGCCATGCTCACTAAAGCATTTACCACATTGGGAGCACATTTATGGCTTTCCTCTTGTGTGGTTGCTTCCATGAACCACAAAAGAGGTGTTTTGACCAGTTTTTGCTAAATTGAGATAATTTGTATAGCTTTTTTCCTGTCTGGCTCCTCTTTTGCATAATCAGCTGTGATTTGCAATCTGTGCTTTTCCCACATTAGGCAAATCTATGGAGCTTTTCCACAGCTGATATTCTTGAGGTCAAAAATATGGACAATGCTTTGTTTAGTGATGTTTTCATTCAAGCTGTTTTCTTCCTCACAGGTTGTGGCCTGCATTCCTGTCTGCTCTAATGTGGCTTTACGATTGACAGTTTCTTCCCCACTGACTTCCAGATATTTCGCTCTTTTGCTGAATGAAAAGTAATTTCCCTTGACTTCATGTAATGTATCCTTGAGTTGTGCATAATCTGCTTATTCAAGCTTGAAATCTTTCTTGATTTTATCTCTTTTGTCTAACAGTTGTTTGAGGAGGATGAGAATTGTGTGTTATTATGAAGGAAATGGAAAATATTTTGATTTCTAGCTTGATCTTCTTCCTTTTTCAATGTTGCTTGCTATTTAAAATTGTCCCAGGTGCTCTTATTGTCATCCTCTTTATCTGTAAGATTCAAAGAAAAATGTAACCTTAATTGTTTATAAAATGGTTAGAGATGATGTAAAAAAAAGAAAAAAGTATATATTACAATGAAAAAGCAAACATGCCCCAATGCTACCATGTTTTACCGAAAATAAGACCCACCCCGAAAATAAGCCCGAACTTGATTTTTGGAGTGGGCCCAATATAAGCCCTATCCCAAAAATAAGCCTGGGAGTATGGGTGTTGCCAGCATGAGAGATGGCGAGCACACGGGGAGAGGGGGGGAGAGGAAGACGGTGTCCAGCTGCAGCTTAAACCTGCCGGCCCCTTGGGGCAGTGCAACAACTACTAATTCCAAGCATGGAGACATGTGTTGTGCCCCCTTTGTAGAAGCGGGGGAAGGCCTGTTCCAATCACAGTGTTGCAGCATATCACGGAATGGTGGGAGAAGTTAAAGCTCTTGACTCCTGTGCATGTCTCTTCACTTTTCACTAAGTGTAAAGGTGTGTGTGTGTGTGTTTGTGTAGCGGAGGGTCAGGTGGGAGGGCGGCAAGGGCTCTGCAGAGAGAGGGGAGTGAGAACAAAGGCGTGGAGCTATGCATTAACCAGACGGGAGGTGGGAAAGGTTTCCTGGGTGCCACACACGGCTCTGTCCTCGCTGGGTTCCACAGCTGAGGGACGATGGAACAACCCACACGCAGTTGGCAGCATGACTTTCGCCTGTCTCTTTCTGGGTGCGGCACTTCCCCTTGTTGGGCTGCTTCCCAAAGCCAGCAGCTCCGCGGCCAGCTGCTTTGCTTTTTCCCTCTTTTTCCTCATGGGAGACTCACAGGAGGCTTGCGTGGTGGCACCAGCAGTAGGCAAAGGCAGAAACATGGGGGAGGCAGAGGCGATCCCAATGCGCTGCCCCACCATCTCTCAGCTTGACTGTGACTGTGCCGAACAAGCACCAGCATAGGGTGTCTGGATTGCCTGCCTACCTCATGCCTCTTCCTGCTGCCGTTGCTGCCACGCAAGCCTTCCGTGGGCCTCCCGTGAGACAGGCAGCTATACCGCATGTCAAGATCGCCTGTCTTCTCCCCTCCCCCCACCTCTCACTCCACACTCAGAATTAAAGATATTTGCACTGTGCCAAGAAGGCTGAGACATGTGAGGTCTTGGCATGTTGCAGCCATGGGAAAGCAGACAGTGTGATGGAGAGGGTGGGGCCAGTGGTAGTGCTTAAAAAAAAAAAAGACCTCCCCCAAAATAAGCCTGAGTGTTTATTTTCAAGCCCCCCCCCCCAAAATATAAGACAGGGTCTTATTTTCTGGAAACATGGTAGAAAAGTCTCTTACGTTATTTATGATTCATTTGACACATGGAAAACTACTGAGATCCATATTCAAATAACCATTCAATCAAATTCAGTTGTTTAGTTGGGTCAATCACAAGTTCTTAGCAATGCAAAGAAGTATCATCAATTATATATTGAAGTGCTGGGATAGATTATATAATTCCAGACATATCCCTACAGAGGGAAATACAGATATACCCACCTACACATGTATTCATGGAGAAAATCTATGTCTTTCAAAGTTGACAATATGTCCCAAAATGGTTACAGTCAAACCTTCTGAGCTAAATTTAGAGATCTGGGGGCTTTAACTGATAAAATGTTGCCAAACGCCTCTGCAAGATTTGAAGCACCACTTTTAGAATAGAATACTTTATTGGCCAAGTGTGATTGGACACACAAAGAATTTGTCTTGGTGTAAATACTCTCAGTATACATAAAGAAAAGGTACATTCGTTAAGAATCAAGAATCATAACGTACAACACTCAATGATAGTCATAGGAAATCCTCAGCAGCAAATCCTCAACTAGTCCCCACTTAACCTACTGCAATTAGAACTGATATCTGTGTTACTAAGCAGCCCAATCATTAAACGACTTGATTCAGAAATCTGATGCAGTTCCTATCTTCAAAAAAAGGGGGGATGTATTCACAAAACCACAAACCAACGAGACTGACATCAACGCCTGAGAAGATCCTGAAAAAGATAACCAAGCAACAAACGCCTAGAATCAAGCAAATGTATAATCAGAAGCCAACATGGGTTTGTTGAAAAAAGATCATGCCAAACAAATCTTATTTCTTTCTTTGAGCAAGTGACTAAATTAGTAGACCAGCAAAATGCTGTGGACTTGAATTTCAGTAAGGCATTTGATAAAGTAGACTACAATTTACTTCTTGGTAAATGAAGAAAATGTGGGATAGCAGTGGGGTATCCAAAGGCTCTATCTTAGGCCCAGTATTCTTCAGTATCTTCATAAACAATGAGTGAATAGAAGGGGAATTCATCAAATTTGGAAATGACACTCAGCTGGCAGGAATAGCCAACACCCCAAAAGACAAATTCAAGATACAGAAGAATCTCGAAAGATTTGAACGCTGGGCCCTAATCCAACAAAATGAAAATTCAATGGAGAAAAAAGATCGGTTTTACACTTAGCCAAGGAAAACCAAATGGCAAGGTACAGAATAGGCACAACCTAGCTCAATAGCAGTAACTGTGAGATGGATCTTGAAGTCCTAGAGGACAAACACCTAAATATGAACCAGCAATGTGATGCAGTGGCCAAAAAAGCTAATGCAATCCTAGACTGCCTTAACAGAGGGCTAGAATCAAGATCACATGAAATATAAGTACCAATTTATAATGGTTTGGTAAGATCCCACTTGGAATACTGCAACCAGTTTTGATTGCCACAATATTAAGAAGAAGAAAAAAGTGAAGAGCAGCAAGGATGATGAGAGGGGCTGGAGGCTAAACTGTATATAGAAGGGTTGCAGGAATTGGGTATGTCTAGTCTAGTGAAAGAACGAACTAGGGGTGACATGATAGCAGTCTTTCAATAGTTGAGGGGTCAAGAAGAAGGGAGTCAACTTATTTTGCAACGCAGCAGAAGGCAACATAAGAAGCAGTGGATGGAAACTAATGAAGGAGAGAAGCAGCCTAGAACTAGGGAAAAATTTCCTGACACTGAGAACAATTAACCAGTGGGAGGGTTTGCCTTCAGAGGTTCCCATGGGGGCTCCATCACTGGTGGCTTTTAAACACACAGGACAGACATTTGTCTGAACTAGTACTGGGTCT